ACTGTTTTGCTGAGGAGTATCGATCAGAGTGGTTTAAACATTTATTTTTTGTAAAAAATATTTAACAGAAAAATCAGAACGTTGAAGCCTTCTGAAAATTTAAATTTTTGCTTGCGAATCGCAAGCTCGAATCGCTAAGCTTGACACAAAATAATTTGAAACCAAACCAATTAACTGGATTTCCTTCATATTTTGCTTAACCGTTGTTTTAAGTCTAATTAAAATTATTTAACTTATCGATATATATTTTAATTTAATTTATTTTATTTTTTTTCATTTTTTTGATTATTACTTAATTTAATTGTTTTTAAGGGTATTTTTTTTTTGCTTTATTTGATTTAATTCAATTTAGCTGCATTAAATTTTATTAATTTCCTTAATTTTATTTGATTTGTCTTCGTTTAATTTGATTTAGTTTTTGTCATTTTATTTTTACTATATTTTATTTGTTATTTCATTACTTTATTTTGGTTTTTGTCATTATTATTATTTTATTTTATTTTAATTTATTTTATTTTATTTTATTTTATTTTATTTTATTTTATTTTATTTCATTTTGTTCTATTTTATTTAATTCTATATATCTTATTTTAATAACTCTTATATTATTTTATTTCATTTAGTTGTTTTATTTTGTTTTGTTACTTTAATTCAATTTAATTTCACTATATTTTATTAAATTTTACCTTTTTTATTTAATATTGATATATTTAATTATGTTTTTTTATTTAATGTTCTGTTATTATATTTTTCGTTTTAATTTTTATCATAATTATTATTTAGTTTAATTATAGTCTTTTTTATTTTTTTTATTTGACTTAATTTATTCTATTTTAATAAATTAATACAATTTTATTTTTCTATTTTGCTTTATTTCATTTAATTTAATTGCTTATTATTTTCGTAATTTTTTTTATTATGTATGATTTAATTTGATTAAGTTTAATTTAAATAATTTATTTTGAGTTACATGTTTTTAATTAATTAATTAATTTTTTTTTATATGATTCTTATGTTTAATTATTTTTTTTTTTTGACTTTAGTTTATTTTATTTTATTTGAAATAATTTGGTTTGGCTTAATTTAATTTAAATTAGTTTAGTTTAATTAAATATTATTTAGTTTAATTTATTTTTAATTTTATTTGATTTATTTTGAGTTAATTGTTTTTACTTAATTTTTTTTTGTATTTATTTGATTTAATTTTATTTTAATTTTTATTGACTTTATTTTGTGTTATATAATTTGATTTATTAATTTAATATTATATTTATTTTACTTTCATTTTACTTTACTAAGTTCTTTTTGAATTATTCAATTCAATTTGGTTTTATTCAAGACTACATTATTTAAAACTATTTTTGGCTTAATATATTTGATTTTATTTGCTTTAATTTAACTTAAGTGCATTTAATTTAATTTTATTTAATTTATTTTTTTATTTTAGTTTTATTTCATTTGGTTTAATTAAAGCTTTTTAATTTTTTATTTCTTTAGTTTACTTTACTTAAGTACATTTTAAATTATTTAAATCAATTTAATTTAATATTATTTAAGCTTAAATTATTTAATTTATTTGATTTAAATTGGTTTGGTTTAATTAGAGTACAATTAATTTTATTTAATTTTGATTTATTTATTTTATTACACATTATTTTATATGTTATATTTTAAATTGGTTTGATTTATTTTACTAATTTAATTTGTGGTTACTTTTTCGATTGAATTTTTTTTTACATATTTTCATTGTATTTTATTTCTTATTGTTTTTATTTAAATTTTATTTTTATTTTTATACTATTATTTTTTTAATAAAATCTGATTTAATTTGGTTAAATTTAAGTTTATTTGGTTTGATTTAGTATAAGTCTTTTAATTATTTATTTTATTTTATTAAAGTTTATTTCAAATTATTTAATTCAATTTAATTTTCTTTTATTTTATATTAATTCATAATACTATTTTTTAGTTTTATCTTTTATATAAGGTTATTTTATATATTGCTTGATTAAATTATACTTTGATTTGTTTTATTTTACTTTAGTGTGTTTTGATTAATTTTATTTAATTTCTCTTCGTTGTATTAAAATTAAATTTTTATATTTGAATATCATTTTTTTTATTTTTTTATTTTCATCTTTTTGGAATCTAAATGAGTGGACCTTTTATTTATTCAATTTTTTTATTTTATTTACAATATTATTATTTTTTAAATGTATTTACATTGCTTTTTCTCGTGGCCTGATGATATGTTTTTGCTTACATTTTTGCACTAGGCTTCGAAATTTTTATTTTCTCTTGTTTGCTGTAGCCATGTTCGGCTAGCAACTATGTAAATTTGTGTGTAAGAAAAATAAAATGAAATATGAATTTACCTGAATTCCAATAATTGAAATAAATTATAAAATCTCATGCAAATATCCAATGCAAGGACAACATTGAGTTGTTCTACCTTTTTGATTATTATTCTTTTATTTTATTCCTTTATATCGGGCATTCGTTTCGGTGTTTAGGAAATGCGATACATAGGTGAATGTTGACAACATAAACTGAACAACTATTACAGTTAGTTGATTAGCTCGTTTTGAAATTTGTGCGTAGTCGTACTTATTTTGACTGAATCGTTAGCAATTTTTATAAAAAACATAAAGATTTTGTCGACGGCTTTTACGAATCGAAAGCAATGGAAAAATTACTCAGCTCCTTTCTAGAGCGGGCAGCTGAGTACAACATTCGCTATAAAAACCTATTTCTAATTCAAAAGAAGAGTCAAGTTTTCTTCTGCATACTTTTTACTTTTGCTTTTCTTTCTTTTAACCCATCTTTTTACCACTAAGTTATGCATAACAGCAAAAAAAGGCCTCTTCAACGCTTAACTAAACACTTTTGGCATATTAAAATCTCACGGGAATGTATCAGAGAGAAATTCAAATCACGTATTGCTTACATTTAAGGATATTATTGATTTTTGTTTCGCTCGCTGAACGCCCAAAAGGCAGACCAAACTATTGAATTGGACTCACATACAGTTGATTGTCCTCGTTGTCCTTGATTGCTGGCCAAGGAATGTATTAAACGAGCGGCTTAAGGAAATGTGTAAAATTTTCTCGAAATGTGAAGTAGTTTATATGCAAAATTAATGAAAAGAACGATGTAATAAAATGAAATAAAATAAAAAATAAAAAAAAAACAAATAAAAAAAAAAATAATATATGAAATCAAATAAAATAAATTTAAATGAAATAAGTTTATAAAATTAAAACTACATGAAATTAAGTAAAAAAAAATAGGCAAATGCCCTTTTTTAGGTGCATATTTGTTTCTGTTATAGAGCGAGACCTGTAAATGGAAGGGTGTGCCTAATCAACTACCTACTTAAGATTCATTCTTCCACGTACCTGGTAGACATTGCAATCGATTCGCGAGAAATACTTTTCATGTGTAGCAGATATATGTACAAAGGATGTTTGAATAGACTCAGAATACTATTTTTCTGGCAAGCTAAAGGCAAAACAGTTCCACAGCTGTGATGTGTCTGAACTTACAATCGATTTGGCCGCTGGCCAAGAAATAAAAAGCTCAAAACTTCGAGTGTGTGAGCGAAAAAAATTGGAAAAGCATTTGCAAAAGCTTTCACTAGCAGTTTGTATTTATGTGCAAGTCTCTAACAAATGCATATTAGCTGTATAGAAGGATATGCGGCGCGACCATTGGCCTACACTGTAGCTTTGTGATTCTATTTTATTTTCATTTTAGTCGCGAAAACTAAATGAAAACCGTTTGCAAAGTATATTAATTTGCATAAAACACATTTTCCTGGCGGTTCAAAATAATAAGCGTGGAATATTTTAACGGTAGCTGGCACATGAGTAGGCATATGTGCAATATAGAAATCATTGAGAGAAACTAATTTGAAATTAATGACATCATATAGCTCTGATAGCTCGAGAACTCTATATATATAGCCATGCAATTTTATTTATTTATTTTTATATAAAAACTTTTTCAGGAATAATTTGAAAATTTAAGATTGTATTTGAGGAAAAAAGGTTTATATTTTGTTTTATTTCATGGTATATGATTTTTAAAATAGTTCTTAATTTTCTGTGTTGAATTATTTGGTCAATTGTTAATTTTTTCCTTTCAAAACTATTATTTAAATAAAAGTTAATAAAAAATTTGATTTTTTTGTAATATAAACAAATAATGTGTATTTGAAGTGGTGATTACGGTAAATAGAAATTAATACCATCTTCTAGCAAAATACATTACATAGGTAGATTAGTTGCAATACATTTATTTAATCTAAATTAATTAACTGAGTGTAATTTTGCAATATATCATAATAATTAATACAATTTTATATTCTACTATTTCTCTGCATTATTTTATTTTATTATTATTTAATTATTTTATTAATAAATTTTTTTTTAATTTAAGTAAATTTTATAAGAATTATTGTCACTTTTATTTAATTTATTCCATGTTATATTATTTGCATTATTTTATTTCATTTGGTTCCATATTGTTATATGTTATTTCATTTTATTCTATTTTCTTCGGTTTATTTAATTTAGTTTTGTTTTCAATAGTTTTATTTTTTATAAGTAATTTACTCATTATAATATATTTTACTAATTTTATTTTATTTTATTTATTCTTGGTTTAATTTCTTTCTTTTATTTTTTTTTTATGTTTTATCTAATTTTTATTTAATTTTTTTAAATTATTTTATGTTGAGTTTCGTTTTAATTATTTAATTTAATTTAATTTAATTTAATTTAATTTAATTTAATTTTATTTTATTTTATTTTCTTTTAGTTAATTTTATTTTACTTTATTTTATTTTATTTTATTTTATTTTATTTTATTTTATTTTATTTTNAGTATATTTTCATTATTATTTTTATCTTATTTTTTTTGTTTATTCAAATTTATTTCTAATATATATATATATATATATATATATATGTATAAGTAGATATAAAAGATATATAGTGACGTAAATAATATCAACAATTAATTTAAATTAATTAATAGTTGATTTACAAATTTTCTGCGTTATTATCGTGATATCAAATTATATTAACATCGTGACCGAAATCGGCTTCATCTTGCACTGCCTCTCATTCATCATTGTCTGTATAGGGGAAAAATTTGCCATTGATGCGAACTCCATCAAAGGGATAGCGAATACTTGAATAAACATCTTCCAGTTCATCGGAATACGAAGTGTCAATTTTCAACAAACCACTTCGCTCTGCTTCCTTATACTTGGCGCACTGAAATGGAAATAAAAATTATTAATGTAAATGTTTATGTATATAAAAAAAAATACTAGTGTTTTTGCTAAATTTTCTTACTCACCTCATTCAAGTCGCTTTCTTTAATGGCGGTGTAACAGGTGTACACTACTAAAGGTTGCTTTGAATGGACTCTTCTCGCCTTTAAAATCTCAATAGATCGTAGCACAAATTCCATAGAGATTTTCTCGCAAAATTGAATATTCAGCACACTCAGTTTTGGACAAGATTTCAATAGCTTTAGTAGTGCATCATTGGTTATGTCGTACGATCTGACGATTATCAACTCCTCAAGTTGGGTCAGTCGGCACAACTTCTTCAAAGCTGCGTCGTTAATCACCCTAAAGTTAAAAGCAATGCTGAGTGATCTTAATTGTTTCAATTGGGATATGCTATCAATATGTTCTGGCGTTAGCGACCTTTTGCAATATATTTTCAAGGTTTTCAATTGTTGCGCCTTATGAATGGCCAGTTTCAGAGGTACGAATATTTCTTCGCCGGGAAGGGGATATATGATTTCCAAGTGTTCGAGGCGGGGCAATAACGCCACACGGTCATACTGATATGCAGACCGTGTCATTTTGAAATCTACAAGTTGCTGGCACTGATAGTCGATGACGCTGTAAAAGCTTAAATCAAGTCCATGAATTCGACGGATGTCAAGTGTGCGCAGATTTTCTAACGCCATTGAAATTTCGATTAAGTTTTGTGTTTCAACACGTATACAACCATACAGTTTCAATACCCTTATTGTGACAATATCTTTTATATAGGCACCTGTGAAAGAAGCGAATTGTTATGAATTATAAATGAATGGAATTAACACAAAAATAATGAGAAGAAACTTAATTTAACAAACTTATAAATATAACTAAAAATTATTCATTTAAATTGAATAACAAATTAATTAAATTATTTTTATAAAAATAAAATAAAATAAAAAAAAAATAAAAACAATAAATAAAATAAAATAAAATAAAATAAAATAAAATAAAATAAAATAAAATAAAATAAAATAAAATAAAATAAAATAAAATAAAATAAAATAAAAATAAAAGTTATTTGAATTAATTATGAGCAAAAATAAATATAAAGACAACTATTTTTTCCCTTACCAGTTATCAATACATTTCCATCCAATACAAGCGTATCCAAATTTTTGACATTTTGACAAGCTTGAATATGTTTATCCTCCAAACAACCGTCCGTAAAATCCAGTGTTCTTAAATGCGAAAATGACTTTATGAAATTCTTAAAGCTCGTAAGCTTCAATCCGCAGTTCGTTATTTGCAATTTTTTGAGTTTTGGACAACATTTTCGAATGAAATTCATGATGGTTGTACGATTTTTGAATGGCAAACTACCCCTCATTTCAACCATATATTTGCCGGCATATTGCAAAAGATCGCGGATTTCCCAAAGTGTCATCTCATTTAGCTGGTTCAAATTAAACCGTTTGTGTTCGAAACAACTGTATGTTTTAAAAACCTCCAGAAACCGTTTATTTGTACGCACTAAACGCATTTGGGCACCCGGTTTCAGTTGTCTAAATATTGCAACCATGCAGTATACATTAATGGAGAATATACTGTTGATTTGTTCATTCGCCAATGCGATCGGTAAAATATTCGAATCATCGGGCGGTGAATTTTCATTTGAAAGACTTTTGAGCGTAGCGTTGTCTGGTTCTCGTTTACACGCTTCGTCGGTGTCCGGTTGTAGCCAACTATAGGCGGGTTTCACTTTAATCTCGATTTGTTCAATGAACTGATACATTTTCTGTAGTGCCCTGCGTCCAGAAGAGATTGAAAATAAAATTTAAATTAAATTTATATCAATAAAATTTGTTTAATATTATTTCAATAATTACCTGCACGCTTCCTCAGCCTTTGTAAAAAATACTAGAGCTCTGCCGCCGCATGGTTTCATTAGGATATCTTCAACTTCGCCGAATTGCTGAAAATGTTTGCCGAGCTCCATAGAGGATATCTGGAAAAAAATTAAAAATTAAAAAAAAAAATCATTTTAATTTAAAATATCTACGCACATGCGCACGCACATTTATGTTTGCATGCAAATTTGTGTTTCAAACGCCTTTCGGGACTTACCTTATTGCTCAAGCCAGATATAAAGAGATTACGAATCCTCACATAATCCTCTGTATAGGCTATTTGATTTGAAATAAAATATGTCGCGTATTCCGGCGACGTCCAATATCGCCAATCATCATCCGGGTCTGAGTTAAAATACTCTCGAAGTGCTCTGTTTTCCATACAAGACATGTTGCTGCTGTGAAGCTCAGTACACTTATTGAATAATTGACCAACGTGACGGATCCTTAAATGGCCAAGACGACATAAGATAGAGAGGTATTGTAAAAAAATATATATGTCTGTATGAGTATATGTGTGTTTGTTTTGTTAAAATTCTTCTAAATGTCAGATTTTTAAATTCTATTGTTTAAAAGATATGTAACATTAAAGCCAGAGCTATGTATGTACATATGTACAAACGGATAAGTACAAAAACATTATGTACCTGCAGATGTACATATGTATCTACATATACATCAGGCATTTCAATAAGTTTTTATTCCATTGATTTTTCTGACAAAATATACACATGTAAAAAAAAAATAAAAAATTAAATAAAATTAAGATTAAACATATTAAAATAAAAACTGTAAAAAAATAATAATAACATAAAATAAAAAATAGAATCAAGTAAAATAAAATAATATAAAAAAAATAGAATAAAATAAAAAAAATAAAATAAAACAAAATTAACAAAACAAAGTAAAAAATGTAAGAAAAATAATAAAATAAAAACGAAACAAAATGACATGAAATAAATTAAAATAAAATCAATACAAACTAACCAAAATTAAATAAATTAAAATAAGGTTAACCTAAATTAAATAAAAAAATTAAATAATATACAAATATAAAATAATATAAGAAAAAATAAAGTAAATTAATATAAATTAAAATAAAAGAAACTCAAATTAAAAAATTAATTTAAATAAAACAAAATAATTAACTTAAATGAAATAACATAAAATAAAATCAAATCAAATCAAAATAAATTAAATTATATTATATTAAAAAAAAAAAAATATAGTAAAGTAAAAATATTAAAAAAAAAAAACAAAATATCCTATAAAATAGATAAAATGAAAATTACCCAGATTAAAATAAAAAATCTAAAAAATAAAAATAAATTAAAAAATTGAATAAAAAAATAAAAGAAAAAAATATAAAAAGAAATAAAATGAAATTGTAAAAATAAAATAATAATTAAACTAAGTTAAATTAAATAAAAATAAATAAATTAAATTAAAATAAATAAATTACATACATTGAAATAAAAAAATATAAATTAAGCGATATTAAATAAAATCAAAGGAAAAGAATTGAAATGAGATGAATCGAAATAAATTAAAATAAAGTGAAAGGATATAAAATAGAATAAAATAAAATAAAATAAAATAAAATACAATAAATTAAAATAAATAAAATAAAATGAAAAAAATAGAATAAAATAAAATTATACTAAAAAAAAAGTATAATGTAATAAATTAAAATAAAATTAGAAAAAAGAAGCAAAATATTTAAATAGATAAAAGGAAAATTACACATATTGAAATAAAAAAAAGTAAAAAATAAAAATAAAATAAAGTAAAAAATAGAATAAAATAATAAAAAACATAAAATAAAAAATAAAACGAAATTAAAAAAATAAAATAATTTAAAGTAAAATAAAATAAAGTTAAATAAAATACAAAATTAAAAAAAATAAAATATATTAAAATAAATAAATAAAATAAAGTTAAATAAAATACAAAATTAAAAAAAAATAAAATATATTAAAGTAAAAAAAATAAAATAACTAAAAGTAAGCAAAATAAAATAAAATCAAACGAAAAGAAATAAAATGGATTGAAATAAATTAAAATAAAGTAAAAGAATATAAAAAAAAATAAAGAATAAAATAAAATGAGATTATTTAAAATAATATAAACAAAATAAAATTAACTTATACTGAATAAAACAAAGTTTTATTAAGTCTAAGTAAAGAAAATATATAAAAAGAAATGAAATGTTGTAAACTGAAATAAATTAAAGTAAAATAAAACATATTTAAGTAAAAGATAATAAAATAAAAAAAATAATAAAATTTAAATAAAATCAAATGAAATGCGATAAAATAAAATTAATTAATGTTATATAAATTTTACTTAATTAAAAAAAAAAATTAAAATAACATCAGAAATAATAAAATAAATTCTAATATTTTTCAATAAAAATAACAAAATTAATTAATAAATACAAAATTAAATGAAATTAAGTAAAAAAATAGCCAAATATCTTTTTTTTTAGGTACATATTTGTTTCTGTTATAAAGCGCAAACTGTAAATCAAAGGGTTTGCCTAATAAACTACTTACTTAAGATTCATGCGAAAAAAAAAATTTCATTATACCATTCTTTCATAATAAAATTATCAACGCCCCTTTTCGTACATATGTAGGCATGTTATTTTTTCAAAGTTGATAGTTTAGCCTGAAACAGTACCACGTAAACCGAGAAATACACGAACCATTTTACTCAGGCCAAAGTAAGGTAGAGGATATTCACTAGAAGGGTTTTTAAAACAAAAGAAAGCATGTTTACATCTATGTAATTGCGGATCTCATGGGCCTCGATGTTACAGTGGGCTTAGCATAATAATTTTTATGAAAATTTTGCAAAAAGGTAATAAAATAAAGAAAATAAATAATAGAAAAATATGTGAGCTATATTTCGGTGTTTGAAACACTAACAAACATAAATACGTATATGCGAATGCCTGCCTGATATTTTATGTCCTCGCATCCTTTCGGTGGCGTCCGCAAGAGTGTTTGCGAACGCGCAGCAAGCACTTTTATTTAGAAAAAAAGGATTTATGTAATTTTCTATTTCTTAAGCATAAGCTTTTTTTTAATTTAAATTTATATTAACCGCAATTGATTACTTAAATATTTATTAAAACTATTTTTCGAATTTTATACAACTCTTATGCTTTTTAAATTAATATTTGTTAATTTAAAAAAAAAAACATATTTTTAATCTCATTTTTTAAAAAATAATTTTGTTAAATATTTATTTTAATAAGAATTTAATTTCTTTCTAATTATTTTATTAAGTATATTTTCATTATTATTTTTATCTTATTTTTTAATCATATATTTTCAATATTTTTTTAAACATTTTTTAAAAAGTTTTTTTTCTTATTTTTGCTGCAAATTTTATATTTTTTTTTTTTGAGTCAACAGCTAATCGACACCAGTAGCATAACGCTTATGAAATACACCAAATTTAGTACGTGCAAAGTAGCCAATTAAGTGCAAGTGCTGCCGCTGTACTTATATATCCAACAAAAGGTTTATATGGAGTACGTTAAAAATTGTGCATTCAAAAAAAAAAAAAAAAAATATAAAAACTTAGTTTCCCAACTAAAATTTTGTTTTGTAAAATTTTTGCAACAATTTTTCAAATTTTGCACAATAAAATTGTTTGCACTTTTTTCGCAGGAAAAATGAAGCTGACCAGAACAGGTTAAATGGCCTAGACGTTGCATGGAGTTTAGTGCATAAAAGTATATGCAGACAGTTGTGTGTGTATTTATGTGTATGTATATCTACGAGTTTTAGGGTTATGTGCATACCGGGAAATTTCCTAAATTTCTTTATACTTCAACTGCTGCAATTAGTATTGTTTTAAGTGTGCATATAGTATTAGGTTGTGCCATATTCATTTCGAATTACATCTTTTTATTAAAAATTGTTCATACTGAAGTGCATTTTACAGTTAATCGATAGGAAAAAAAAGAAATTTAAAAATAAATAAAATAGAATTTTAATATAATAATCGAGAAAAAAATTAAATAAAATAAATTCAATTCCATTTATTGAAAAAGACGAAAATATGTAATAAAGTAAACAAAAAATATATTTAAACAATAAAAAATATTATACAAAAATTTAAATAATTAGAAAGAGGTTTGTAAAAAAAAATAAAAAATTATGGGAAAAATAAAAAATTAAAAAAATTTAAAATAATCTAAATTAATTCCTTGTGTGTTTCAATTCCTATTATTTTTATTGAATATTTAATATACTCACAGTTATTTTTCCAAATGAATTTCTTAAGTACAAAAGTAAAATGACGCAAATCCTAGATCATTTACGTATATGCTACTCAGCTCATTAATAACCAGCTTATGTATGTAGTATGTTGTTAGTACTCCGTTGCCAGTCACGTGTTGGCTATGTTATGTGTAACACACACATACACGCGCGCGCGCTCACACACACACTTACCAAATCATTCTTCCGTTAGCATGCAGTTGAGCGCACGTTTTCACACTTAAAATTAGAGTGTAAAAAATTTTGCGTGACAATATACATTTTTTTTTTTGCATGTGTGTGTGACTTCACGTCGCTGATAATAGTGGCAAGGAAAAATTGAGCTTAGAGCACAAGACATAGTTATGCTGCAAACAAATAGGGTCGCTTAGTAATTAGTTCACCACAAAATTGACGTGGACACTGCCAATGTAGCAGTCGTTTCATCTCTTTGCTATTCGGCGCCAAGTGGAGACTCCAAGAGCAGTTAGGTACTGCCCCTCCTCTTACCCTACTGCCACCGGCGAATGCTGCAACTTACTCGGTAAGCCATTCATTGGATTTTATCATTGAACCTGCCGCCGTACCATTTATTAGAACGGGAATGATGATCGACTTGTAGAGTTTGGCCTTCGTTCGTCGAGCATACATATTTCATTTAGGAGAAGAAAGTGCAAGAAAAAAGAGAAACACTTTCAATATCAGATAGATATGAAGCCTATAAATTATTGTATCATGTGTATATATGTATAAATTATACATTGGAAAAGAAAATGTCAAAATACCCATAAGGGATCTCACAACCCGCCGAAAATGTTATAAAGTCTATAATTATAAATCTTACGCGTGTTGGAATTGAAACATTGAAAAGTTTGTTATTATTTTTTTTTATTCATTGAAAATAAATGTATTTAAATACAATGTATGTATGTGTGTATGATATAACATTATAAATTATTTGACATAATTAATGTAGGTGTAAAAAATGTTTTGTTCATGTTTTGCATCTTGAGTTTCATGGCAGAAAAATATGTTTGTAAACTTATAAAGATTCAGTAGGTACAAAAACGTCTTCAAAATCCTCTAGGCCAACCTCCTTAAACTCAAATTCTACATCTAAAAGAGAACGCCTCGTCACATATTGATATGATGGACACTCTACTATTGCGCTTTCCACCACCGACGTACCATAAGTGGAAATGGTGAATTTTCGTCCTCGAAAGCGTGCCATGTATATGACTTCTGTTAGGAAATCATTTGTAATTTGTTTACAAAATTGTATATTCAATGTGTGCAGCTTCGGACATGTTCTCAACAAACCCAACAAACCCTCATTGGTCACTTTGTCGCTACCGGCAATCGTCAAGTCTTCCAGTTGCTTCAACTGACCCAATTGAGCTAAGCCGAGATTAGACAATGCATCGCCACTAAAAGCGATGGAAAGTGTTTTCAATTTTGCCAAACGTGATATCTTTTTGATATGTTCCACGGTTAGGCATTGTCTAGAATATATTTTCAATATCTCCAGTTGATTCGCTTTGTGTTGCACCAGTTTGGGCAGTACTGTCAACCTCTTGTTGGGTTGAGAATATACGATTTCGAGGTGTTTCAGGCCTGGTAATAATGCGACGTTCTCGTTTTTATCATCAATTGCGGTAGTTTTCAATACCTCAAGTTTCTGGCAAAGCGTAGACATTTCTTGGAAAAAGTTGGGACAAAGTTCCAGGTCTATGCCGCGTATATCAAGTGTACGTAAATTTGTCAATGATTTACAAATGCATCTTATATTTTGTTCTAGAACCTGATAACAGTCGTGGAGCGAGAGATGCTCCAGTTGTAGTAGATGTTTGAACTGTGCGCCTATGGAAGAAAAAATAAAATAAATAGAAATTTATATGAAATCAATTTAAAAAAATTATGTTTTTGATTTTATATTTTTAAATTATCATAGTTTTAACTTTTCTTTTTTAAAATTGTAATTATTTATTTCCACTTTATATTAAATTTTTATTTAAATTTTTTTAATTGTAATTTTTCAAGTATACATATTTTTCAACTACTTTTTACTGATTTATAATCTTCTTAATATGTTTTAAAATTAATTTTTTTTCTAACTATTTTTTTTAATTAGTTTTCTTTAATTATTTATATATTATTTTTTTTTTATTTATTTCGCTCTTCTTAATACTCACCAGTTATTTTGGCAACGTCGTACAAGTGCAATGAATGTAATTTCTTTTTGGCAGTCAATATTTTAATTGATTTATCGTTCATAGCGCAACGCGTTACATTTAATTCCTGCAAATCTGGCAACAGTCTCAGGAAGTTGTTTAGACATTCTGCTTTCATTCCAATCATATCCTTGAGAGTAACACTTTTCAAATTCGTACAGTGTTTCGATAATAAATCAACTATTTCCTCGCGAAATTTGTGATTTATGGAACCACTAATTTTCACCAAATATTTGCCTGTTATTTCTAAAAAATCACGTATTTCCCACAACGTCATGGTTCGCATTTCATCCAAATCGAATTTTTTAATCTCCCGTCTGCAAAAGGCTTCAAAAATATATCGAAATCCTTTGTGTGTGCGTGACAGTCGTATTTGATCGCCTGGTTTCATTTGCTCTAAAATAGCTTCTATGCAATATTCAGGTAATTTTAAAATATTTAAAGCTGCTTTCGGATCGACAACATTTTCGTGTTCTTCTTGGCCTTCTGCCATGGGGTTACACGCCTTATCCTTATCGGGTTGTTGCCAACTGTGCACAGGTTCAACAAATATGCGTTTCTTATCAACTAAATGATTTTCAATAAGCAACGCCCTATGAAGAAGAAATAGATATTTTGATATGATTATATTATTAAAAAAAGAATAAAAAAATTAAACTAAGTTCTGCAAAAAAATTCATTATTATGCAGTTTTAAATGAAACGTTAATTTCAACATTATCTGTTAAATAGCTGCACACTCTATTATTAACGCTTAACATTATCTGTTAATGATTTTACATTAGGAAAAGCATTACCATGCATGGTAAAACGAAAAAAAAATCATAAATAAAGTGAATAATAAATTCAACCAAATGATTTTATCTCGTTTCGCCGCCATATTATCAAATACAAAATGCAATTGCCAATGTTGAGCACGCAAAAACTTATCGTTTCTGTTAAAACTGTCTTCTTGTTATGATGTTAACAGCATACCGCTAACATTTTCTGTTAAATGACTGCACACTCGAATTTTAACGTTTGAGAATATCTGTTATCATTAACGAAAGCATTTTGTTTCGAGAAAAAAAAAAGAATTAAAATTTATTCTGTTAATTACCCTAAGGATAGCATTCCCAAATATTTCGACCAAATTGATGCAATTTTTTTGAATAAATAAAAATTTTTGTATGAATTTCTTAAATGTTGAATTTTGCATAAAATTTTGGAAATGTGGTATTTTCTATACACATAAATAGAAACATATATTTTTTAACCTACCTGCACGCAGCTTCCGGTTCGACGAAGCAAATATAGCATGTGTAGAGTTTTTTATATCGGTCGGTCTCGCTCTCATCTGTTATTTCGAATTGTTCAAATGCGCCAAATTTGCGAAAATATTTTCGTAAATCATATTCTGCTACCTAGGGAGATAAGAAGAAAATTTTTAAATTTCGTACACACGCATAAAGAGAAAAAAAGAAATTTTCGTAAAAAAGAACTTACATTAGTTATATAAGTAACACGAATACGGCGCACTACCACGTAATCCTCGGTAAAGGCTTTGCCATTTTTGAAGAAATATTTATTATAAATATTTTTAACTTTATGCATTTTGCACACAGAAAGAATTTTCGCAACGTTAAGACTTAGTAAACTCAGCTTATTGTATTCTAAACACTAGATGAACTGTTGTGATTATGAATGATTTTGGTCATTTGTTCGTCCTTAAATAGCCGCCGAGGACATCGCGAAAGAGAGAGAAACAATGGCAGCCAGGCAGGCCAATATTTAAATGCGGGTAAAGAAGGATTGTTTTGAGCGCTTCTGGATTTAAAATTAAAAGTGAATGTGTGTACCTAAAGAAGCTGAATTCTAAGAAGAAAAATTAATACAAAAAATGCTGACGAAAATGGAGAAAATATAATTGACACAATTTCTTAGAAAAAATGTTTAGGAAAACTCTGATCGTGGAGACCTGCAACATGGAGGATGTAAAAATTTGCGAAGAGTTGACCTAATCGAAAAAATTTATTCAACTTTTATATCGTTTGTTACGGTTTTGATTACAATTTTTGTAAATAGCTTATCATAAAATATTTTCCATCGAATAAAATATGTATATCAACATTACTGAAAAATTAGAAAAAAAAATAATTTTCATTACTTTATTTTTTTTTTGGTTATCAAAACACATACATATATATTTAAAAATTTGTGAATTTTTTTCGTACGAAATTTTTATAAACAATTTACTCAATGCACCAAACAATTTTTATTAAAATAGTTTTCTTTCATAAAACTTTTCTTTTGAATCATTAAGATTAATTTAATATATATTTGTAAATATTTTATAAATAATTAAAAAAAATAATAAATAATAAATTTCTTTAATTTTTTTTCAAAAGTAAATGTAAAAATGTTTTGTAAATAAATTTCTGCACAGTTTTTAATATGTTAGTTTTTTTCACAAATATTAAAAATAAATTAAAAAAATAATTTTTTTGTAATTTTTTTTTTTCGTTTTCAAATTTATATTTTTACAAGTATTGAATTTGTTTTTGGAAAAAATTGTTATAAATGTGTAAGTTTCTTAAAAAAATGGCTTGTTTAAGTATGATAAATAAGAAAAAATAGAAAACATTTTCATACAATGACGTGATCCAAGATCATGCCCACCAAGTATGCAGAGTTAAGGAAAAAATTATTAAAAACAAGTTTTTATTTTTATTTAATTTATATTTTTTATTTGTCTTTCAACTTTTCTTCGGCTGTTAAATGTTTTTTATAATTTTAATATTTTTTTATCAACTCTACTTTTTTTAGTTTTCCCCCGTTTTTTTGATACTTTTATATATATATGCATATCTTTTCATTTCTTTAAATGATTCTTTAAACTTATTTAAATTTTTTTTTTTAAGTTTTTTATGTTTATAATTTCTGATCAATTTATTATTTATTTTTATTTTTATAAAAAATAAATTTTCTTTTATTTGTTTTTAACGCTTCCCGCTTTTGAAAATCGATCAAGTACTATGAATATAACTAATAGCCACCTTAAATTATTATAATTTTTTTAATAGATTATTTTGTATCCGTAATTTTGATATGTTTTTTTTTTACTAATTTTCAACATATATTATTTTTGTTAAAACTTTTAAATTAATTATTAAATATTTAAAAAAGTTCGTATTAAAATTGATATTTTTCATATAACTTTTTAAATATTAACAATTATTTTAATAGTTTTTTAAAATTCAAAAATTCGGAATTTGATTAGTAAAGCCCTCGTTTTTCAATTGTTTTGGTTAAAGAAAATATGAAAAAAATGTAAATAAGTGACATACTTACATACATATGTATGTAACGAAAACTATTTTTTAACAAGTATATTCATAATACACATATGTACATATATATATGTGCATATGTAAAAAAACCTTTCGTGGAAGAAAGTATTTTCGTTTGAGATACAAATATGACATCAGTGATGAATAATTTATCAAGTGAACGAATTTTTTTGTTGTTTTTCTTTTTGTTTATTTCTTATGTGCCCAGGCCTTAATATCATTTATGTGCATGTACATTTATGCAGACAAAATACGATACAAAAAATAAAATGCCAGGTACCTGTGTTTAAAATATATGTATGTAAGTTGAAACTCCCTAACTAAAAAAGGGACAACACATCACCCTCACAACACCATACAAACGCTAGTTGCTCAATTCGCTCAAAAACACCCATTAATTTTTCGTTTTGTTCTGATTATTGCGCTCATTATCTTTGCATAACAACAGAAAGGATATTTTGTCCTGTGGCAACTGTGGACTAAGACGCGTCAAAGATCTAGTTATCTCTCTCCTTGAAAAACAGCGATTAGTAATTTAGAAGCTAAAAGCAACTGCATCTCTACTGAGATGTCCTTGACGAGGAGCTACTTCGAGCCTTTGTAACTGTATGGGTATGTAGAGGCAGCAAGAATATATTACCCTTCGCATGTTGGGACGGAAAGAGGGTATACTCTCTGTGGAAGGGAAGAAGGCATCAACGACTCTTCTACTTTAAATTACTCGTCTGAAGGCGACTGCAATCAGTCAATAAAATAATCCATAATTTTATGAAGTTTACCTCATCAAACGACATAGACTCAACAACAACCCGGAGTCCAGCCTAACTTTAAATTTTATAATAATAATAAGTGAAAAATGTGTCGTTGGCACACTAAGCTTTGCACCGCGAATAAGTTCAGACTCGTCTTCTCGAATGATGCAAACTTTACGACAGGAGAGCTAAGCCAACTCCGGCTCAAAGTTATACCGGTGCATCATAGCTTGATTACTTGGTGTGGGGGTAACAAGTTATGCATAGCTTATTCAGAGATCTGAAAGCTAGAGTCTGAGTCCAAAGGAACCGCCTAGATTAACTCATTTCTTCCATTTCTTAAACTACTCTCCGAAATCACAGTATTGATACGAACATCCTTCTTCGCTGAGGCATCTAACTCTCTCCGCGAGATCTGAGGCTGAGTCTATCTCTTCTAATTTACATTCCATTCTCGAAAATCCTTAAGCTCGTATTAGCAATTCCCATACAGTGTTAGATACCCCCACAGCAGTCCAGACACACCATTACCAACGAGCACTCAATTTAATTACAAATTAAAATCATTTACACGCGCTCAATGCATAGTGTAAGTGCGGCTAACATGGAATAATATTCAAAGTTTTCAAGCAACATTAATAAAAACTGAGTTTTTAGATCCTTCAAATATTGCAAACAAATGAAGCAAAAGGCAATAGGCGTAAAGTTTTAGTAATATAAAAAAAATAAAATAAAAATCAAATGCCGAAAATGGGAACAGAATATAAATAATTGGCTGATAATGTCGGCTAATGTGGTACACTCTACCAATATCTCCAAATCGCAATATTTGCACTCTAAGATTATACAAAAAATAAATAATAATATTACCTTATTTCAAAAACTGGAAAACATAAAATTTATAAGTAAAAAAAACACTTCAATTAAAAAGTTAAAAATTTATTAAATTAAAACATTTCCAAAAAGTGCCATTATTCATAAGAAATGCAAATAAAAATAGCACTTCGGTTCGCTATACACTTCTCATAAACCCACAATTGTTCGTTTTGCACCGGAGACCCGTGGTTTTATAAAAGCAACAACTTTTCCGCAAAATTTCACAAAGTTTCTGTTGTTGCCCTAAAACTCTACACAACCACTTAAATTATAATCAGCAAACGATTACGTAATGTATTTGTTGTTGCTTTGTTTCAAATTATTTTTGAAAGGAGAAGTCTTTAAACCGGCCGCTTTCATTTTTAAGTTAATTCTAAGTTTAAGTGGTGGAAATATCGCTTAGCGTGTCTTCGGCTAGTGCTCGCTAGATAACTTATTATGAATATTATTTTTTTTTCGTAATTTGGTCTCCGAAAAACCGAAAATCTGCCTTTGTTAGTCCTCAGCACTTTGACTCTAATTCTAGCAAATATTTCACGAACTCTCTTTCTATAGCCCACTTTGGGGACACTAAAGTCTGTGGAAGCCAAGAAAATGCTGGTATGGCTTTTTTCATATCTTCGGCTTTCCACTTTCGTATTTCATTTATTTTCAATCTACTTTTTTAGCCTAGAGCATTACTTGCTATACTAAACTACTTTAACCGCCATCGAGTTTTAACATAATTTTTATAAATAACTAATTACTCAGCAATATATACGAATTACTACTTTAACTGTTCCCTAATGTAATACCTACTTGTTACCTCTCGACCAATGATTACAGTGTAAAGTTCTAGCCTTTGCTGGTAAAAATCCCTTTGCCCAAGCACAAAAAAAGTCCACCCAAGCACAAAAAAACTCACTAATCAGTTACATTAGAACTGTCCGCCCCAAAGCCTTATAATTGGGATTGAAACATTAAAAAGTATTTATTTTTTAAATTTTGTTTATTGAAAATAAATGTATTTAAATACAATGTATGGCAATGTGTATGATATCACAATATAAATTATTTGAAATAATTAATGCAAGTGTAAAAAAGAAAAGCTTAAAGTTCTAGTTGCAAAACATGAATTTCATGGAAGGCAAATATGTATGTAAATTATATATACGTTTTGCATCATATCTATTATTTGAATATTCAGGTGCAGGTACATAAACGTCTTCATAATCCTTTAGGCCAGCCTCCATAAACTCAAATTTAACATCTAAAAGAGAACGGCTCGCCACATCTTGATATGATGGACACTCTACTATTGCGCTTTCCACCACCGACGTACCATACGTGGAAACGGTAAATTTTCGTCCTCGAAAGCGTGCCATAAATATGACTTCTGTTAGGAAATCGTTTGTAATTTGTTTACAAAATTGTATATTCAATATGTCCAGCTGCGGACATGTTCTCAATAAACCCAACAAACCCTCGTTGGTCACTTTGTCGCTACCGGCAATCGTCAAGTCTTCCAGTTGCTTCAACTGACCCAATTGATCTAAGCCATGATTAGTCAATGGGATTGAAAGTGTTTTCAATTTTCGCAAGCGTGAGATATTTTTGATATGTTCTGCTGTTAGGCATTGTTTAGAGTATATTTTCAATACTTCCAGTTGATCCGCGTTGTGTTGCACCAGTTTGGGCAGTAGTGTCATCATCTTATTGGGTCCAGTATAAATGACTTCGAGGTGTTTTAGGCATGGTAAAAACGCCACACTCTCGTTTTTGTCATCTTTTGAGGTCATTTTCAACACCTCAAGTTTCTGGCAAAGTGTAGACATTTCATAGAAACAGTTCGGAAAAATTTGGAGGTTTAAGCCGCGTATATCAAGCGTACGCAAGTTTTTCAACGTTTTACATATGGTTTTTACATTCTGTTGTCGAACCTGAAAACAGTTGTGGAGGGAGAGATGCTCCAGTTGCAGTAGATTCTTGATGTGCAAGCCTGTGTAAGAAAACGGACAAAAGAATTATTTATTAGATATCAAGTGCGAAGCATAATGTTATTGATAGAATTTTTTTTTTAATTTTACAATTAAATTTATTTTATTTTTATAATTCTCTTTTCTTTTTTAAAATTTTTTGATTTGGTTTAATATTTTTTTATCATTAAAAGGTTTATTTTCCAAACTTATTTATAGTTCTAATTATAAATTTAATTGTTACTGTTATAAAAATTATAATTCATTTTAAAATTCAAAAAAAAAAAAATTAAAATTATATTAAATTATTTCAATTTAAAAATTTCACTTTAATATATGTTTTAATTTTTAATTTAATTTTAATTTTATTTTTAATTTCAATTTTAGTTTTAATTTAAATTTAAATTTATAATTTTAATTTTAATTTTAATTTTAATTTTAATTTTAATTTNACGCTTAACATTATCTGTTAACGATTTAACATTAACGAAGAATTTCGTTTCGAGCAAAAACGAATTAAAATTTATTTTGATAATTGAATTGATATCCAACCATTTCGACCAAATTGATGCAATTTTTTGGAATAACTCAAAATTTTTGTATGAATTTCTTAAGTGTTGAGTTTTGTTTAAATTTTTTGGAAAAGTTGAATTTTCTATATACGGATATATAAAATTTATATTATTTTTTTTAACTAACCTGAATGCAGCTTCCGGTTCGACGAAACGAATATAGCTTCTGAAGAGTTTTTTATATCGGTAGGCCTCGCGGTTATAGGTTATTTCGAATTTTTCAACAGAGCCGAATTGAAGAAAATATTGCTCCAAATCATATTCTGAAACCTGTGGAAATATTAAGAATTTTTTTTTAATTAGTACACACATATCTATAAGCATCAAAGAGAAAATGTTTCAATAGGTTTCATAAAAAAGAACTTACTCGGCCATGAATAACACGAATGCAGCGTACTACGATGTGATCCTCGGTAAAGGCCATGCCATTTTTGCAGAAAGATTTATTATAAATATTTTTAACTTTATGCATTTTGCACACAGAAAGAATTTTCGCAACGTTAAGGCTTTGTAATCTCAGCTTGTTGTAGTCTAAACACTAGATGAACTGTTGTGCTTATGAATGAATTTGGTCATTTGTGCGACCTTAAATAGCCGCCGAGGACATCGCGAAAAGAGATAAACAATGGCAGCCAGGCAGGCTAATTTTTAACTGCGAGTATTGAGCGATTGTCTTAAGCGGTTCTAGATTTAAAATTAAAAGTGAATGTGTGTACCTAAAGGATCTGAATTCTAAAAAAAAAAAAAAATTATTACAAAAAATGAGGGCAATTCTTTTGTCATAATGACCCATGAAATTTTCAATAGATAAAAATTAATTGTTCCGCTGTGGAGACCTTAACCAGAAGGATGTATTCAGCTTACGACGTACATAAGCAGTCGACAAGAAAGAATTTTCCGAGAAGTGAAGGAAAATCATATTTTAATTATTTTATTACATACATACATACATACATACATACATACATACATACATACATATACATATATTTATGTATGCAACAAGACCTTTCATTGAAAAAAGTTTTTTCTATCGAGATATAAAAATAGGATCTTTAATACGATTTATTTATTTATTATTTATTATTTATTAATTTTATTTGTAAATATTTATGTACATTTACATTCATGCAGACAAAATACGATATAAAAAATAAAATGCCAGCTACCTGTGTTTAAAATATATGTATGTAAGTTGAAACTCCTAACTAAAAAGGGGACATCACATGACCCTCACAACACCATACAAACGCTAATTGCTCAATTCGCTTAAAAACACCCATTAATTTTTCGTTTTGTTCTGATTATTGCGCTCATTATCTTTGCATAACAACAGAAAGGATATTTTATCCTATGACAACTGTGGACTAAGACGCGACAAAGATCTTGTTATCTCTCTCCATGAAAAACAGCGATTAGTAATTAAGACGCCAAAAAGAGCTGATTCACTGAGATGTCCTTGACAAGGAGCTACTTCAAGCCTTTGTGACTGTATGGGTATGTAGAGGCAACAAGAATGTATGTTGGGACGGAAAAAGGGTATACGAGATGTGCTCAAAAAGTATCGCGAATTTTGTATTTTCGCGGATTAAGTATAATCGAATTTCGTTACTTTTGTGGCGTTATGTTGATACTCATGTCTGTCACTTATGCCGACAATCTCGGCCATTTTGAATGTTCACCTAATTGTTGACAGCTGCTTTGCTTGCTGATCTTCGATTTTTACCTATTCAAAAAAAAAAAAAATGGATTAGAGAACCGGTATCAAATTTTGTGTGAAAAACGAAATTAAGTGCGCGGATTCATTCCGAATGTTGACTGTGGCATACGGAGAAGCTACCTTAGACCGGAGCAACGTTTATCGGTGGTACAAAATGTTCTCAGAAGGCCGAGAAGATGTGAACGACGAAGGGCGTGTCGGACGTATTGCCACAGGGTAGAACGGTCAATAAGGAATATTATCTGCAAGTTATGGGCAATTCGCGCGAAGCAATCCGCCAGAAACGCTCGGATTTGTGGACGAACAAAAAATGGCTTTTGCATCACGATAACGCCCCTGCTCACACTTCGTTGCTTGTGCGCGACTTTTTGGCCAAAAACAATCACACTTTTTCTTGTTCCCTCAACTGAATAGGCCCATGAAAGGACGACGTTACGCTACCATTGACGAGATAAAGACGGCATCGAAGGAGGAGCTGAGCAAGATAAAAAGAATGATTATTTGTAGTGCTTCGAAGATTGGAAAAACCGTTGACACAAGTGTATAATATCTCATGGGGATTACTTTGAAGGGGACAAAATATATATTCATGAATAAATAAATAATTTTTGAAAAAACACAAAATTCGCGATATTTTTTTAACACACCTCGTACTCTCTCTGTGGAAGGGAAGAAGGCATCAACGACTCTTCTACTTTAAATTACTCGTCTGAAGGCGACTGCAATCAGTCAATAAAATAATCCATAATTTTATGAAGGTTACCTCATCAAACGACCTGGTCTCAACAACAACCCAGAGTCCAGCTTAATTTTAAATTTAATAATATTAAGGAAAAAATGTGTAGCTGGCACACTAAGCTTTGCACCGCGAATAAATTCAGACTCGTCTTTTCAATTGATGCAAACTTTATGACAGGAGAGCTAAGCCAACTCTGGCTCAAAGTTTTACCGGTGTATCATACTTTGATTGCATGATGTGGAGGTAACAAGTTATGCATAGCTTATTTAGCTTATCTAAAGTCTGAGCCCAAGGGAACCTCCTGGATTAACTCATTTCTTCTATTTCTCGGCCCAACCTCCGAAATCACAGTGTTGATATGAACATCCTTCTTCGCTGAGGCATCTAACGCTCTCCGCAAGATCTGAGAAATGCTCCGCCTGAGCCTATCCATAATCCAAAGGTTCATTAATAATTTCGGCATCGAAGATTTACTTATTAACATTAATATTATTTTTATTAAAAATTTCTGTTGCTGTAGATGTTAAAACATAAAAAAAAATTAAAAGAAATTAAAACATTCCAAAAAAATATTAGAAAAAAATTAATAATAAAAGCCGATTTAGAAAAATTAAAAATGTAGACAATTTTTCGAAGTTCATTCATTAAAAAAATCACCTTGAAAACGAAAATGTCAAAATACCCAAAAGGGGATTTCACAACCTGCGCCAAAATATTATAAAGTCTATAATCATAAATCTTACGAGTGTTGGAATTGAAACATTAAAAAGTATTTTTTTTTAATTTTGTTTATTGAAACTAAATGTATTTAAATACAATGTATGTATGTGTGTATGGTATAACAATATAAATTATTTGAAATAATTAATGCAAGTGTAAAAAAGAAAAGCTAAAAAGTAAAATTACAAAGTATGAAATTCATGGAAGTAAAATACTTATGTAAATTTATATATAATCTACATCTACGATTTTTATATATATCTATTGTTTGAAGATTCAAACAGGCACAAGAACGTCTTCAATGTCCTCTAGGCCTACGAAAGATGGTCAAAAGAGAACGCCTCACCACATATTGATATGATGGACACATTCTAATTCGGTTTGCCATCACCGACGTACCATAAGTGGAAATGGTGAATTTTCGTCCCCGAAAGCGTGCCATGTATATGACTTCTGCTAGGAAATCATTTGTTATTTGTTTACAAAATTGTATATTCAATGTGTGCAGCTTCGGGCATGACCTCAGCAATCTCAACAAACCGTCATTGGTCACTTTGGCGCTACCGGCAATCGTCAAGTCTTCCAGTTGCTTCAACTGACCCAACTGAGCTAAGCCGAGATTAGACAATGCATCGCCACTAAAAGCGATGGAAAGTGTTTTCAATTTTTCCAAACGTGATATCATTTTTATATGTTCCGCGGTTAGACATTGTTTGGAGTATATTTTCAGTACCTCCAGTTGATTCGCTTTGTTTTGCACCAGTTTGGGCAGTAGTGTCATCATCTTATTGGATTCAGTATAATGGACCTCGAGGTGTTTTAAGCATGGTAATAACGCCACACTCTCGTTATTGTCCTCTTTTGATGTAATTTTCAACACCTCAAGTTTCTGGCAAAGCGTAGACATTTCATGGAAAAAATTCGGGACAATTTCGAGGTTTAAGCCGCGTATATCAAGTGTACGCAAGTTTTTCAACGTTTTACATATGGTTTTTACATTCTGTTGTCGAACCTTAAAACATCCGTGGAGCGAGAGATGCTCCAGTTTGAGTAGATGCTTGATCTGTGCGCCTGTAGGAGGAAACGAAAAAAAATAATAATCGATTAGATATCAGTTTCATTTAATTTTAATCATTAAAATATTTATTTTGCAGTTTCAATTTTAATTATAGCTTTATTTTAAATTTTTAATTTAATTTTAATTTTAATTCATATTTTAATAAGAAATATAGTTTATTTTTATTAATATAATAATTATAATTTCTTCTTTAATTTTAATTTTAGCTTATTTTTTTAAATTTAATCCTGTTTTTAATTTTATTTTTAAATTCGGTTTTAATTTTAATCTTAATTTGAGTTTTAATTCTTTTTCCATTTTCTTAATATTTGCCCAACATTTTAATATCTCATTTTAAATGCTTTTATTATATATGTTGCCTTTAATTTTTTTTAATTTTAATATTTTAGTATATTTTTATTTTGTTTATTTTTTTTAAACATGTTTCATTGTATTTAAATTTTTTAAGCTTTATTTAAAACTTAATTTCCTTATAATTTTCATTTAAATAAATAATTTATTTATTTCGAAGAACATTAAAGATCGAAGGAAAGGATTTTTAGTATTCTTAATATTTTCTAAATTAATTTTATTTTTTTATTTTTAATTAACTTTTTTAATGTTAATTTTTTTTATATAGTTTTTAATTTTCTCAACACTCACCTCTTATATTGGCAACGTCGTACAAGTGCAATGAATGTAATTTTTTGCTGCCAGTCAATATTTTAATTGATTTATCGTTCAACGGGCAACGCGTTACATTTAATTCCTGCAAATCTGGCAACAGTCTCAGGAAGTTGTTTAGACATTCTCCATCCATTCCGTTCATGCCCTTCAGGGTAACACTTTCCAAATTCGTACAGTGTTTCGATAATAAATCCACTATTTCCTCACGATATTTGTGATTTATGGAACCACTAATTTTCACCAAATTTTTGCCTGTTATTTCTAAAAAATCACGTATCTCCCACAACGTCATGTTGTGCATTTCATCCAAATTGAATTTTTTATAGTTTCTTCTGCAGAACGATTCAAAAATATTTCGAAATACTTTGTGTGTGCGTGACAGTCGTATTTGATCGCCTGGTTTCATTTTCTCTAAAATAGCTTCTATGCAATATTCTGGCAATTGCAATATATTTAAAGCTGCTTTCGGGTTAGCAACATTTTCTTGTTCTTCTTGGCTTCGTGCCTTTTCCATATCAGGTTGTTGCCAGCTATATGCAGGTTCAACAAATATGCGATTATTATTAACAAAATGCTTATTACTACGCAGCGCCCTGTAAAGAAGAAAGAGATATTGTAAGATATATACAGAAATGTATTATAAAAAAAGATTAAAAAAATACAAAATTAAAAAAAATTAAAGTTGAAAAAAAACTATTCGTAAAAAGTTTATAGCCTGATTATTTTACAATTTTAAATGAAACGTTTATTTCAACATTATCTGTTAAATGGCTGCACACTCTAATTTGAACGCTTAACATTATCTGTTAACGATTTAACATTAACGAAGAATTTCGTTTCGAGCAAAAACGAATTAAAATTTATTTTGATAATTGAATTGATATCCAACCATTTCGACCAAATTGATGCAATTTTTTGGAATAACTCAAAATTTTTGTATGAATTTCTTAAGTGTTGAGTTTTGTTTAAATTTTTTGGAAAAGTTGAATTTTCTATATACGGATATATAAAATTTATATTATTTTTTTTAACTAACCTGAATGCAGCTTCCGGTTCGACGAAACGAATATAGCTTCTGAAGAGTTTTTTATATCGGTAGGCCTCGCGGTTATAGGTTATTTCGAATTTTTCAACAGAGCCGAATTGAAGAAAATATTGCTCCAAATCATATTCTGAAACCTGTGGAAATATTAAGAATTTTTTTTTAATTAGTACACACATATCTATAAGCATCAAAGAGAAAATGTTTCAATAGGTTTCATAAAAAAGAACTTACTCGGCCATGAATAACACGAATGCAGCGTACTACGATGTGATCCTCGGTAAAGGCCATGCCATTTTTGCAGAAAGATTTATTATAAATATTTTTAACTTTATGCATTTTGCACACAGAAAGAATTTTCGCAACGTTAAGGCTTTGTAATCTCAGCTTGTTGTAGTCTAAACACTAGATGAACTGTTGTGATTATGAATGAATTTGCTCATTTGTGCGACCTTAAATAGCCGCTGAGGACATCGCGAAAGCGAGAGAAACAATGGCAGCCAGGCAGACCAATTTTTAACTGCGAGTAATGAGCGATTGCGTTAAGCGGTTCTGGATTTAAAATTAAAAGCGAATGTGTGTACCTAAAAGATCTGAATTCTAAAAAAAAATTATTACAAAAAATGATGGCAATTCTTTTGTCATAATGACCCATGAAATTTTTAATAGATGGAAATTAATTGATCTGCTGTGGAGACCTTAACTAGAAGGATGTATTAAGTGTACGACGTACATATGGAGTCGACAAGAAAGAATTTTCCGAGAAGTGAAGGAAATTCATATTTTAATTATTTTATTACATACATACATACATACATACATACATACATACATACATACATACATACATATACATATATTTATGTATGCAACAAGACCTTTCATTGAAAAAAGTTTTTTCTATCGAGATATAAAAATAGGATCTTTAATACGATTTATTTATTTATTATTTATTAATTTTTGTTTGTATATTTTTATGTGCCCAAGCCATGCAGACAAAACACGATACAAAAAATAAAATGCCAGGTACCTGTGTTTAAAATATATGTATGTAAGTTGAAACTCCCTAACTAAAAAAGGGACAACACATCACCCTCACAACACCATACAAACGCTAATTGCTCAATTCGCTTAAAAACACTCATTAACTTTTCGTTTTGTTCTGATTATTGCGCTCATTATCTTTGCATAACAACAGAAAGGATATTTTATCCTATGACAACTGTGGACTCAGAAGCGACAAAGATCTTGTTATCTCTCTCCTTGAAAAACAGCGATTAGTAATTAAGACGCCAAAAAGAGCTGATTCACTGAGATGTCCTTGACAAGGAGCTACTTCAAGCCTATGTGACTGTATGGGTATGTTGGGACGGAAAAAGGGTATACTCTCTCTGTGGAAGGAAGGAAGGCATCAACGACTCTTCTACTTTAAATTACTCGTCTGAAGGCGACTGGAATCAGTCAATAACATAATCAATTACGTCTTTTTTCAATGGGGATGACTCCTCAAGTGACTTGACCTCAACAACAAACCAGAGTTCATCATAACTTTTATAAATCAGTAATCAGTAATCAATTCAAATTAGTCTTTTAGGATGATGCTAACTTTACGACAGGAGAGCTTAGCCAACTCTGGCTCATACTTTTTAATGTTCTTGCGTTGCGCGCTGCCTGGCGGAACGCTAGGGTTCGAGTTCTAGTTTAACTAACATTTAATTCCATCGGCTGTTCGTTGAAGTCTTAGTAGGTTGTAATCTGTTATACCAGTAATTGTTTGGTATAGTGGCAGGGCAACATATTGGGAGGTATTAAGGGAACTAACATTCCCCATACCTCATTGTTGGTGTGAACAGTCATCTCCGCTGAAGTATCTAACTCTCCTCGCTAGATCTGAAGAATCCACTATGCCGTTTCTTCTAATTTACAGTTCACTTGGAAAATACCAAAGCTCGTATTAGCAATTCCTATACAGCGCTTGATCCCCCTATAGGTACACACCAACGAGCATTCAATTTAATTACAAATTAAAAGCTTTTACCCGCGCTCAAAGCATATTTAGCAATGGTAAACTCATCGGAATCTCTGGAAAAATAGTGAATTCCATCGGTTAATGAAATCGAATTCCAAAGCCACGCGCAAATACCAGACGAATGACAACGAAAAAAATAATACAGAATGCAGTAAAATGGTTTTAAAAATGTGCAGCAAATGTGGCGTGGAATGGATGTATGCGCATGGATAAAACTAAAAAACTGCTTTGGCGAATTAAGTCGAAAATCGCCCATTTCGGGTCACTAAACTGCGATTTACACACATACAAACATACATATTCGCAAACTGCGTAATCAACGCTCCGCCGGTATGTGGCAAGTGCACTAACACCCTTGAGGCGCATCTTCACTCGCACATAACTACCCTGCACACATAGGTTGAGACTCGAACTCTCTGCCCCACACGCGCTCATGAATAATTCCCACATTGCAATTAGCGGTGAATTTAGTGCAAAGTGGCTTTTGCTATGCCATAATGTGTGGGTATGCATGTACATATGTGCGATAGTTTGGTACTAGCTTAAGGCTTAGACGCTATTAAATGCCGCAAATACAGTTGAGAAGTCAGTATGTCGCGCAATCACTCTTCTTGTGGGGGTAAGCTTAGTGGAGGTCTTTTATTTTTTCGAAAAAAAAAAAATATATAAAGGCATTTTTCTAAGTCATCCGACAAGAAGTCCAGGAAACGCGCTGCCTCCACGTGTTCGCATGTGAGGAAAAGGATTTTGTGATGAGTCGGTTCTATGAGCTCTGGTGGTTAGTATCATGGGGATATCATTATATACGTATCTGGATGAGTCAACCACGTTTTTTGGATCTTAACTTACCAATATTACACGGGTCTTTCGAGATAGCTCAAGCTCTTCGTCTCAATAGGGATGATCATAGGATTCGGAGGACGTTGTTCACTGGAAGAAAGCTTACGAAAGTGTTAGCGGACTCTCGGTGAAGCATGTTGGCTCGACGTTTCGTTCAGCGGTTCTTGTACATGGTGCTTAATGGCGTATGTGTAGTCGAATACTGCTTCCTATAGTAGAGTCGCTTTATTGTGTCTACGGAAGGGTGCAGAGCAAAAGGTCGGCTAAATGCGCTCTTGCACTTCTTCGGGTCCGACGAGGAGCAGGCACCAAATGAAATTTCTGACCGACCCAAAGCGTCTCGCCGGTTTAGCCAAAAATATGACTGTATCCCAAAGCTTGGTTTCCACAGAGGGGAGCTTGTAGGATCTTAAGTGCTCATTCCACTTGTTCCGCTTGTGCTAATCAACTTCACGCCGAATGTCTTTATTGAGATCCTTCATAAGGGAAATTTCAGGACCGCTGTGATGTGTGGAGTCGCTGCTTCAGTGAGAAAATAACGTGCACCATAGTGTCCTTCACGTGCCATGTGGTTGATGTTGTATCCCTCCAAATGATCTGATGATCCAAGCAACCGCTCAGCTTAGTAAAGTTGACTGTTTCTTCGATATTTCCTAGAGTCCGTTGCAGTGAAATTGTAGCAATCTAGTCTGTCTCGAAGAACATTAGTAACACGTGGAATGAAGTGTGCGCGAGTCTTGCCTCTTCTTAGTGAGCAATGTCAAAAGTGGTTGGTGGCAAGAGTTGCACTTGACGGATGTCGCCTGCCGACAGGAGCTGCTGTATAGCCACACACTAGATGTGGAGGTGATGGTTAAATTGGGTGGGTTGAGGGTGAGTGGGAGGGAAGATTGTTCATTACACTATGGAGAGCTCCATTCCCGTCGGGAAGATACTACTGTGAAGGTTTGAGGTGCAGTTGAGCGCTGGACTCATGGGATCCATAACGCGTGATTCACTTCTTGTGGGTATAAGTTCACATTCACCTAATTAAATATTCAAAATAACACAGTGTTTGAAGCTCCATACCTTCCAATCCAATTTCAAATAAATATAAGCAATTCAAGAAAAAAATTTAGTAGAAAAAAAATATATTTTTTTTATTCTTGGAAAACATTTGTCTTTACAGAAATTTCTTACTTAAAAAGTCTCCTCATCCGAAGAGTCTACCCTATCGAGCCTTCGAGGCAAAAGTTTTGCGTACAATTTATGGTTCTTTGCATGTCGCAGAACGATGATTTTCTCTCTCTCTGCCCTTCTCAAATTTCAACAACAAAACTTAGTCTAGACCGGTATATATTGACACTTTCTTTATGTTAACATTTATATATAAATAAAAATTCAGATTTATTTGACTAAATAAAAATGAGGATTAAAGAAACTTACTAATTTTTTCTCTTTTACTTTCCGGTACGCAAAAAATCGTGTTATTGATGATTGAAGGTAAATTTGAAATAAATTCCCTTCTTTACGAATACTGACGTTATCATATATTCAGTTAAAAAAAATATACAAAAAAAATAATTCACATCTTTTATATTTTAATAAAGAGTTGAATCCAATTTAAGTACTCGAAAACCGTTTGTTCATCGAACTCAGTCGCTTATACTCCTTTCTGTGCTGCTATTTATATGCTACACTCTCTCTCCCACGCTCTCACACTCTTTTTTTTCCTTTCCACCCATCATCTCTTGTTATGCAATAAGCTCATCATATAGCTTGCTTGTATGAGCATATGCCCTGGTATACTTCTATCGTAGTCATGTAACGAAATTGCATTAAAGGACCTTCACCTTGCTGTTGTTGCACTTGTTGTTGTGTTTGCACTTGTTGTAGTGTTTGCATGCCAACCAGCGTTTACAGCGAGCGAGTATCTATAGAGCTTGCAGTGACTATATGTTGACACAATCATGAAAATTTTTTTTTTCAAATACTTTGAAATTTCACATTAACCAAATGGCAATGGCTCGGGGAAAACTGAAAGGGAAATTAGTTACAAAACCAATTACTCTTGAATCAGTTAATGTGGTATGAAAGAGCTTAGACCAATTTTTAAGTGACTTTCCAGAAGTTTAAATTTTTTTGAATTTCTTTCGGTTTAAGCTTAAATTTTTCAAGGAAAAAATTGTATGCTCTTTCAACCTTTTATTGAACTAGTTATATAATCTATTACTCATGGTCTAGTTCAAAAGAAATATTATACAATACATGTCCCTTTATTCACTTCCAGCAGCAAATGTCATATTTACCCAACTTTTAAATAAAATTCCACAAGTTATGACACTAACTGCTTTTGGTCCAATTTATGACTACTCCGTAATAAAATGCACAGTGGTTCAGAAAAGTTAATTTCCATAGATATCTCACCGAATTTCGACAATTTCAGTAGCTGAAAAGCGGCTTATCAGCACCCACTAATGAGTTCTGGGAAAATTGCTATTTTTTTAATTAATTTTTGAACTAATGCTGTTGCTAAAAAAAAAACTAGTTCAGAAGATCACCTTCAGAGTAATTCAAGAA